ATTCGTTTTGTTTTTGAGACAGCGTCTCGTTATGTCGTTCAGGCTGGTCTTGAACTCACTATGTATCCCAGGCTGGCCTTGAATTTTCGTCAATGCTTTTGCCTCAGCCTCCTGAGTGGTGGGATTACGGGTGTGCGCCACCCTGCCCAGCCTGGTTCTGTACTCAAAGCCAGGACGTATTCAGTGTAAAAGCACCCCTTTAGTATGATGCCCTTAATGACCTATCAGACTCTGGATCCTAGACATTACTCTCACTGCCAGTCCAGCCATAAAACCCTACATAGCCGGTCCACCCTGCATGTAGTCAAGAGGATCAGAAGCTGCAAACCAACCCCTTATCCAAGATTAGGCATCAGGCACCTTCCCTTTGGGTCACCTCAAATTATTCTCAGAGGGCCTCTGGACCACTACTTGGCATGCTGTATAACTTTTTTTTTTTTTAAAGGCCTTGCTTTGTACTGTAGGCTGGCTTTGAACTTACCATGTACCCCAAACTGGCTTGAACTCAAGACAATCCTGAGTGCTGGAACTGCAAGAATAAACTCTTGTACTGAGCCCTCCCAAAGACCCATGACACTAAGGTGATCTTCCCCATGCTCTAACTTCTCTGGGGGCTGGGGATATAGCTCAGCGGCACAAGTGCCTGCCTAGCAAGGGCAAGGTCCTGAGTTCGATTCCTGGTACCAAAAAAAACCCCACAAAAAACTGTAACTTCTCTGGGGATAACAAGATCTCAGGACTTTGGGACTTCCCTTAAACCTGTCTTATCATTGGCCTAAGGATAAAGAGCTGACCTGAAGAGCACAGCACCTTATCCACAAACCCCAAGGGAACAGTCCCTTTATCTCCCCATAGCTGTATAAGGTTCAGAGGACCCAGCCGCCATCTAAGCCAGGTTTGCATAGATCTCATTTTAAATAAGTTTGTAGGGCCAGGAATATAGTTCAGCGGCACAAGAGCTTGCCTGGCAAGTGCAAGGTCCTGAGTTCGATTCCAGGTACCAAAAAATAAGTAAGTTTATAGTTTGAGGGATGGGCATGATTTTGCACACCTGTAATCCCAGCACTCTGGAGGCTGAGGCAGGAGGATCATTGAGAGTTCGAGACCAGCCTGGGCTACAAAGTGAGCTCAAGGCCAGCTTGACCTGCGTAGTGAGACCCTGTCTCAAAAAAAAAAGTTCAGGGCCAGGCATGGTGGCACACGCCTGTAATCCCAGCACTCGGGAGGCTGAGGCAGGAGGACTGTTGCGAGTTTGAGACCAGCCTGGGCTACAAAGTGAGCTCAAGGCCCGCCTGAACTGCATAGTGAGACCCTGCCTCAAAAAAAAAAAAAAAAAGTTTATAGCTTGGACTTCAGAGAAGAGAAAGCCCTCACTCCCTCTCTCCAAGTTTTCTCACAGCTTCACGCCTACCAGTCTCCCTCTGGTGTGGGCAGCAAATAGCTCTGTTCTTGCTGTGTTTTGAAGCCAGGGTTTCACTGCGCAGTCCAGGCTGTCCTTGAGCTCCTCACTATGTAGCCCAGGCTGGCCTCAAACTCAGTGACCCTCCTGCTTCAGTCTCCTGAGTGCTGGGATTACCAGTGTGTGCCACACCATGCCCGGCTCAGATTAGCTCTTAGGAGAGAACTTCATAAGAAGCCACACAAGACCCCAAAGCAGCACTGACCTCAGTTACCTCGGTAATTTCAAAGCTCCACTGATCAATATTTGCTCCCAATTTAGCATCTCATAGAGTGTTTCCTCATAACCCTAGAATAGCCTGGGCCAGTTCCTACCTTCTGGTTAATCATCCACAGGGACTAACCAGCAAATCAAAGAGCTGGACTTCAGTGCCCAAGAGACAGGAGAGATTCTCAGGATGAAGCTACCAAAGAGATAACTACCGGATGGCCACAAATGTAGCTTATTTTAGACTTTTAACAACTGGAGCGAGAGTGGGGAACAGCAGTGTTCTAAGCCCCTTGACATAGGGTCTTGGAGCCTGGTGTCAAGAGGACTTTATAAACATGCTTTGAGCCGGGAATGGTGGCACATGACAGTAATCCCAGCACTCAGGAGGCTGAGGCAGGAGGATGACTGAGAGTTCAAAGGCAGCCTGGGCTACATAAGCAAGTTCAAAGCTAGCCTGGATTACATGGCAAGGACCTGTTTCAAAACAATCTAAATAAAAATGAACAGGTTTTGAAATTGTCTAATATGGGGCTGGGGATTTAGCTCAGCGGCACAGCACCTGCCTGGCAAGCGCAAGGTCATGAGTTCGATTCCTGATACCAGAAGAAAAACAAAAACAACAAAAAAAGAAATTGTCCAATCTGACATCCACTGCTACCAGGCCAGTGAGAAAGCCCAGGGATCAAAGGGGCTAAATGGGAAGCTGGCTTAGCGTCTTTCTTTTCTTCCTTTTAGTATCAGGGATTGAATTCAGGGCCCTGGCCTTAAGGTCTATCCCTACCCCTTTTTGTATTTTAAGACAGGGTTTTCCTAAATTGCTAACTGCCCAGCCTGGGCTCAGACTTGTGATCCTACTGCCATAGTGTCCAGAATTCCAGGTTACAAGCATGTGCCATTGCACCTGGCTTCTTTTTTTGGAGGGGGGCAATGCTAGGACTTGAAAGGAGGGCCTCCCACATGCTGGGGAGGCAGTCCACCACTGGAGTGCCCCTAGTCTCTTTGTGAACATAGATAGGATCTGGGGAGATCAAAAGTTAAGAGATTGGCTGGATGCAGGAGTGCACGTCTGTAATCTCAGTTCGCAGGAGGCTGAGGCAGCAGGATCTCAAATTCATTGCTGGCCTGGGCTACATAGGGAGATCAAGGCCAGACTGGACTACATAGCAAGCACCTGTCCAAGACAGAGAAAAGGAGAAAGAGGAAGACTGACTGAAATTAGTATGAATAAAGCAGCTAAGTGAACTCTAGATTCCAATGTAACTGTTTTGGAACTAGAGTTGGGAATAGGAAGCTGAGCATTGAGATCACCATGACCTTGGGAGGACTTAGTAGGGGAAGTGGTGCCCCCCAGTGGCCAAGAACAAGTGAGAGACTGTTGCCTAACAAATGACCTAGCATGGGTGAACCAAATTTCTGTGTTTAAAAGATAGTAGCTAAAATGCGCTGAGCACTTACTACTTCCAGTTAGCTATGTACACACACTACCTTAATCCTCACAACCACTCTAAACTACGTAGCTAATCGTATCTCTAAAGAGGAAGCCAGGCATGGTGGTGCACGCCTGTAATCCCAGCAATCGGGAGGCTAAAACACGAGGATTGCTGGGAGTTCGAGGCCAGGCTGGGCTACATAGCTACACAGGCTCAGATCTTTGGCAGAGTTAGAATTCAGACCAAGCTTGGCCTCATTACATAGTCCAGGCTTCCTTAAATTCACTGTGTAGCCCAGACTGGCCTCAAACTAATATTGATGCTCCTGCCTCAGCCTCCTGAAGTGCTGGGATTACAGGTGTGCACCACCACACCCGGCCCAAGATTTACTGTTTGTATGATTGTAAATTATTAGCTGCAACTTGATAAGGGGATTTTTTTTTCCCCTTTCGGGTGCCCTGGATTGAACCAAGGGTTTCATGCGTACTAGGCAAGCACTCTACCTGGTCAGCCACATTCCCAGCCCCAAGGGTATTTTTATGTCATTATCAACTGTCTCCTAGCGACATCAGCACAATGTGTTGCTATAAAGATATTTAAAAAGATAAGGAATGATATAGTCTGACTCATCTGTAAACCTCTGTGCCCCCGTTACTGAAATTAGTAACAACTCCTCCCTGCGCCAATACATAAAGATAGGACAGGACAAATACTTAGCAGCTAAAATGACCAAGAGTGGTAAAAGGATTTTATTTTTTTGGTACTAGAGATTGAATCCAAGGCCTCACACATGCTGGGCAAGTGTTTTTTCCAACTGAGCTACAGCTCAAGCCCTAAGTATTTTGTTTTGAAACGGGGTCCTGCTACATTACCCAAGTCGGTGTCAAACTCCTGACTGCAAGCAGTGCTGCCTTGCCCTCCTGAATAGCGGGGAGTATACGTGTTACCACCCCTTCCTCGAAAGGGGTTTTTTCTTTTCCTTTTTTTTTTGGAGGAAGGGTACCGGGATTCAACCTGGAGCCTTCTATTTGAGCTGTATCCCCACTCTGTTTTTGTTTTTTACTTTGGAAATAGGGTCTCACCAAGTCATTAAACTGCCCAGGCTGGACTTGAGTTTTCCACGCGTTGCCTCAGCCGCTCAGAGTGCTGAGATCATAGGCATGTGTTACCACACCTGGCTTAAAATGTGTTTTTTTTTTCTTCTTTTTGAGACAGGGTTTTACTATGCAGTTCAGGCTGACCTTGAACTCACTTTGTAGCCCAGGCTGGCCTCCAACTTGCAGCAATCCTCCTGCCTTGGCCTCCCAAGTACTGGGATTACAGGTGTGTGCCACCATGCCCAGCTAAAATGGGTTTCTTATGAGGATTAGGCTAGAAAAATGACTGAACAGAGGCTATAGTGTTTTCTACTGATTATTGAGACAAGATTTTGCTAAAATTGATACATTGCCCAGGCTGGACTAGAATTTGAGATCCTCCTGTGTCAGCCTCTGAGTATGCTGGGATTATAGGTATGTACCACCATGCCCATCTCTAAAAACTATTTTTAAAGGACTAGATTTTTTTTCATCAGAGCATGGTGGAACATGTCTATAATCCTAGTGCTCAGGAGGCTGAGGCAGGAGGATCACTGCAAGTTCCAGGCCAGCTGTCTCAAAAACACCCAAAAAATAAAAAAATAGAGACTAGAGTTTTAGTTTTGAGATGGGAAATACTATGTTTCCCAGGCTGGTCCATTGCTTCAAATGACTCACCCACCTCAGCCTCCCAGGTAGCTGGAACTATAGGCATAGGCCAGTGTGACTGGCTAAAGGACTACATTTTGACCTAATTTTCCTAGTATGTACAGGGACCTCATTTAACATTATCTTTGGGTTTTGTTTTTTCTTTTGTCTTTTTGAGACAGGGTCTCACTACGTAGTTCAGGCTGGCCTCGAACTCCCAAGGATCCTCCTGCCTCAGCCTACAAGTGCTGGGATTATAGGCATGCGCCACCATGCCAGGCCTGCCCCAAACTATCTGAAAGTTTTTTTTTTTTTTAATTCCAAGAAGACAATGGACAGAACCATGGGCATACTGTCAGGGTTATGAAGAATGTGACTATTACTCATGTGTATCACAGAAGGAAAAAAAGGGTTACAACACCGGGTGTAGCCAGGACTGGTAGCACATACCCTGTAATCCTAGCACTGGAAAGCTGGGGCTCCTAGGAGGGTTGCCACAAGTTTGAGGCCGGCCTGAGTTTGAGGCCAGCCTGAGCAACATAGTAAGACCCTGTCTCAAAACAAAACAAAAAACCCCAGCTGGTTTGGAAAACTGATTTGACAGGATATAGCATTTGTTATGGCTACTATCTGAAAACAAAACAAAAAATCCCAGCTGGTTTGGAAAACTGATTTGACAGAATATAGCATTTGTTATGGCTAGTAAAAGCAGGTAGAATTAACACCAGGCTTTGAGTTTAGGTGGCAGCTAATACCAGCTTCCTCTGATTTAGTTTATATGTTAAAATTTCAGGGGATATACGTTATGTGTCAATTGAAATCAAAAAGAATTTTAAAAGCTCAAAAGAGACAAAGATATATGATTTGATAAAATGAGTTAAGATTTTTTTCTTGGGCTGAGGATATAGCTCAGTGGCATAAGCACCTGCCTGGCAAGTGCAAGTCCTGAGTTCGATTCCTAGTACCAAAAAAAAAAAAGATTTTTTTCTCTACTGGCAAAAGTGAAAATTGTACATTTGTGCCAGGCTTAATGTAAGGTAGTAAGTAGTTAAAAAAAAAAAATAGAGGCTATTTCGTAGCTATATTAGATCAGATTGGCACTTGGCAAAGTTAGTCTACAAATTCAGTTTTGCCACTAAGTACAGAACTTATGGGTTCTTGGGTCTTTGTTTATTCATCTATAAAATGGGCACAGGTCAACTAGGAGACCTCCAAGTTCCTTTAGATGCTAAAGTGCTGTAATTAAAAAAACAACAACAAAAAAACCCCTTTGAAATGTTTATTCAGGTGTTTTCTCCTCAGGGCATTCTTGGGACAGAGATATATGTTCCATTCTAAACTCCCCAGACATTTTAGGACCACCTTGTTTAAGAAATTTCCAAACTGGGCACGGTGGTGCATGCCTATAATCCCAGCACTTGGGAGGCTGAGGCAAGAGGATCACTGTGAGCTCAAGGCCAGCCTGGGCTACATTGTGAGTTCAAGCCCAGCCTGAACTACAGAGCAAGAAAAGAAATTTTCCAAAGGGAAGCATTTTGATTTTTATGCCTATGCCCAGTACACACAAAAAAGGGAGGACTTGTAGCCCAGACTGACAATAGCTAGTGATGTTCACATCAAACCTAAAAGCTTAGGCTAGGAAGGAAGGCCTTTCATTAAATAACATTCTTACCTCATCTGTCCCTATCCGATAAAGCCCTCAATTTTCAGCTGAGGTGGTCACATCCATTTTCCCCTTCCTGCCTCTGTTCTGGTCCCTCCATCTAGAAGGGCAGGGAAGGAAGAATAGTAAATGTCCATCACTTCTTGCAAGCCCAAGCCCTGTCTATGCATGTGTGTGTCTGCAGGGTTTAACCCAGGGCCTTGTACTTGCTAGGCAGGTGCTCTGCCACCAAGTTCCTCGTTTCTCTGTAATTGGGCTCCACACATATTGTGCTGAGTGCACACTGAATAAACGTCTACCTGTCTTAAAAGTGGAGTGGGATCTAGCAAGATAATATTCACGATGCAGGCCGCTTCTGACTTTGTGCCAGTGCCAAGCTCTTCCTTCCCCTCCATTTTCTTGCCTGTGTGCAATCCTCTATCTTCAAGCTTAATGTAAGGGCCGATTCTGGTCATGAAAAGATAACACAGTTGGTTCTTTTGGTTTCATATTTTTTCAGTTCATTTCCATAAAAACATAATATAAAAGACAATGCCACCATCTTCCCCTCATGGGGGTGATCCATCAAGACAATCTGGGCTGGTCCAGTGGTTCACAGCTCATCATGAGATATGTGTAGGGCATGGTCACATAGATCTGCAAATAGTACAGAACAATTTGAGGAAAAATACCACTCTCATACTGATATATACCACTATCATGAAATACCCCAAATCAAACTGGCACATACAGCTGCCAGTTTTTTTTTTTTTAATTTTTCAATTTTTTGTCTTTTTTGTTTGTTTTTTGTTTTTTTCTGGTACTGGGAATTGAACTCACGATCTTGCGCTTGCCAGGCAGGTGCTGTGCCGCTGAGCTAAATCTCCAGCCCAATTTTTTGTCTTTTTGAGACAGGGTCTTGCTATGCAGTTCATTTTTTGTTTGTTTGTTTTTGTTTTTTTGTGGTACCGGGAATCGAACTCACGACCTCGTGCTTGCCAGGCAAGCACTGTGCCGCTGAGCTAAATCCCCAGCCCCCTTGCTATGCAGTTCAGACCAGCCTTGAGTTCACATTGTAACCGAGGCTGGTCTTGAACTCACGACAGTCCTCCTGCCTCAGCCTCCTGAGTGCTGGGATTACAGGTGTGAGCCACCACACCTGGCCACTTTTTTTTTTTAAGTCACAAGGACCACCATTTTCAAAGCATGTACAAAGACAGTATAGCCCTACTGCTTCTCACCTGTGTCTTCAGTCCACAAATTCTAAAAGTTGACAGGAAGATAATAGAGAAGAACAATCCAAGTTGGAAGGATAATGGAAGCCAACTTGAATTAATTTCAGAGGCCTCTGGGGGTGAGCAATGTGCCAGGTTCCACAAGGCTGCGAGAACAGGAAGTAAAGTTGGAGTAGCTCACCTGTTCGTTTACTGCAAAGTTTGTCTTTAACATTGTCAGCCTCTCGAGAGAAGAATTCAATCAGTTCATCCTCGTATTCCTCCACGATGCTTTCACACTGCCAACCCAAGGAGGAACGGGTGACACCGGGCGGTAAGAACAGGACTCGGGCCCCTACCTCCAGGGAGGGTGACAAGGACACTGACCCAGCCCTCTACTTGGGCTCTCCAACAACCTCCCTATTTCCCCAAAACCAGCTACCCTTGCCCATAGCTTACCACAAATTTGAGGGTGCCGCTGATATCTGAATCAATTCGGATGCCCTGTAGGTCCCGTTCACTGGATTCTCCACTCCGGCTCACAACACGTACATAGTTCTTACGGTGAGTGGAAGGGTCAATCTGTTCCCCATACTCCTTCATTCGGTCACATACCTCCTCTAGCAGCTCTGTGAGGTGGGCCTCTGAGCGGGCATAAGGTACCTAGAAACGTCCTCAACCTTGGGTCACTCTCTTCTACCTCATACATTACTAATTTATGTCCTTACTTGTCCTTTCAAATCTGGCCTATTTTTTTTTTTTTTTTGTACCAGGAATCGAACTCAGGACCTTGCACTTGCCAGGCAGGCACTGTGCTGCTGAGCTATATCCCCTGCCCCAACCAACCTATCTTAAAATGCCTTCTCTAATTAAAAATGGTATGATTTGTATAGTTTCAGAGTGTTTCCAAAGACAGATGCTGGATATGGTGGCAGACACCTGTAATCCCAGTACTTGGGATGCTGAGACAGGATTGCCACAGCCTGAAATACACAGGAGGCCCCTGTCTCAAAACAAAAACAAAAAACAACACCCAAGAAATAAGACAGGTATCATTACCTCCAAATTATAGGTAAACAGAGACCTCTGATTAGTTCTAATCAGTGCTCTTTTCCTTTGCTTTTTTTTTCCCCATACAGGGGGTTGAACCCAGGTTCTTGCAGGTGGTTGGCAAATGTTCTACCATTGAGTTACAGCTTCATCCCTTTTTAGACAGGGTCTCACTAAGTTGCCCCGGCAGGCCTCAAATTTGACATCTTTCTCTCTCAGCCTCCCAAGTAGATGGGATTACAGGTGTGTCCCATTATGCCTGGTTAAGACTTTTATTCTTTTTTGAATGAATGTTTGCATACCACAGTGCTACAGTGAAACGTAAGTCATATGGATCAGGGATGTGGAGAAGGGGGCTGATCAGGGCTCCCTGTCTGCTATTTCTATAGCAGAAACAAGTGTTAAGGTTTGGAGTACAGAGAGGCTGAGGCAGGAGGACCACTGTGAGTCTGAGGCCAGCCTGGGCTACACAGTGAGTTCAAGGCCAGTTTACACTACTTGCGAAACCATTATTTTGAAAAATAGTAATAAGGTCTGGACTAGGAAGCAGGTGCACAGCATGTTAACTTCCAGCCTTTTCCAGATGAGACAGAACCAAATCTTTTGGCTATCTCCCAGGGTCTGTTTTCTTCATTTCTGTTAAATCAAGGTGCTTCTTAACTGAGTTCTCATTCAAAGCCAGAGCGAGTTACTTTACTTGGGGGAGCAGTAACAGTTACCTCTACCACTGACTGGCTGCCATCTGGATTGATCCGGAAAGAGCCCATCTGAATGGTCTTCTTGGGATCCACCTGGGCAATCTCCCACTCTAGTTCGTCCACCAGAGCCCTGCAGGCTGGTGCAAGGAGACAGAATTGGGGGTGAAGGTGGGTAGGAGAGTGCGATCAATCCGGGGATTTCCGTTCTCTTCTCCCATGCCTTTGCCGCCTCCCTTCTCTTCGTGCCTTTACCTCCACAGTGTAGATCCTGGCTCCTTCGAGCCCAGACAGTGCCCAGGAGGGCCCCCAGAAGCAGGGCCAGCCAGCCCCAGCTTTTCATCTTTAGCGTAATGGGGTCGCTCCACCTGAGTTTACGTGGGAACAAAACACGTGAGTGGACTCCGTCCCCCACGCCCCGCGGCCCCGCCTCTCCGTCATCCCGCAGGCCTTCAACGGCCTCAGTGTAGCTCTGACTCTCCTTTCCAGGAAACGGTCAGCACACACGGGGCCGCTCCGCGCCACGCGCTGGCTGGGCGGCGAGCTCAGGACTGGGGGCTCTGGTCCCGAACTACGTGGGCAGGTGCGGCACCGGACGCCGAGGGCTCGGCGGGCTATGTGGCAGCTACAAGCCACACGCTGGCAGCGATGCCAGGCTGCCAGGCCCGCGAGCGCTGCCAGCAAGGAGCAGGTCTGGAGGCCGGCGAGCGCTCTCAGAATCTGGGCCCAGCCCACAAGACTCCTGCATCCCCACCTCCGGCCTCTGCCCCGGGCTCCGCCGCGGCCTTCGCTCCGGCCCATCCCACCCCGCGGAGCCCCGCGCTCCAGCCGCCCGCGCCTCCCACCTCTGCTCGCTCGCAGGGCCTTCGCCCGGGCCCAGGCACGCGAAGACGACCGGACTCTCCCTTCGGCTGGCTCTCAAGTCTAAAACCTGGCTGCGGGGAGCTGGGCTGTTGGGCTTCTCCAAAGCAGTGCACTTCGGCACTTCCCACACTCCTGATGCCCGGCAGCCTCCTAACCCGGGTCCGAACACCTACAGCTAAACCTCGGAGCGCCGTGGCGCAAACCCCCTCCCGAGCCTGACCCCGAACCCGCCCCTCCAAACTCTCGCGAGAACAGGCAGCGAGGACCGCGCCGCCGACCGCAGGGCTCCGAGCTGCGTGGCGCACAGGTCTCCGTGACCAGCAGGCCTCTGCCCACTGGTAGCCTCAAGGGAGACCGAAATCGTGCATGGTATACAGGGACGGTTAGGGGCGCATGTGCGACAGCCTAAGAACCTTTAAAAACAAAGCTGCGCTGCTAGCCAGCCGGGAGTTTTTTTATACACAATAAACTACATCTCCCAGGAGGCAGCGCGGCACCACAACGATCCTGTCAGTAGGTACAGGTCTACAGATAAAGTGGGACTTGTAGTTCCTCACCTTACCTGATTAACCGGGAAACCGTCCCACAGGTCCTCAATGATTTTAGGATACTAGACACCTACAGCAAAGACCTAACGTTGTACAGGAAAAACAATCACACTTCTACGTTCATAATTTTGGCCTCCACAACCTTATGTTGTTAAGTAGGGATCTAAACGATAATTTTAAATTTTTTCCATTGTTAGGTGAAGCCGTAACAGACGAGAGAGCTGGCACTGACTGGTCACACCAGCAGTTCTCTAATGACAGAAAGACAGACATACAGTAATATTCCTTTTATTTTATAAAACATGCGGTTTAAACAAAAGTTAAAAAAATAAAACTTGAGACAGAATGAATGGAAGACAGATGCTTTTCAGCTGCCAAAGGAGTGAAGCCAGCAGTTAAACTTCCTCCAAGACCCACAGTTATTTTGTTTGAGGCAGGGTCTCCGCCATGTAGTTCAGGCTGGCCTTGAACTCACTATGCAGCCCAAGCTAACTTGGAACTTGCTACAGTCTTGATCTTTCTGCCTCAGCCTCTCGAGTGCTGGGATTACCAAAGTCCCTTTTGGCAATAGTGTAGGAACCCTGGTTTGCTTGGCCCACTTAAACTACATGCTGGCCCCTAAGTGTGGATCTCATGTTGTTTCCTGTCACTGGCCAGGACTTTAGTCCCTTGCCAGCTAGGAATGAGAGTTTTAATTCTAGGAGGATCTTTGCTTGGGTATTAATTACCTAGCATATTTATTAAGAACACTAATTACTTTCCATCTGGGTCAATTCTAGATTCTTTCTGGCCCACTGGTTTTGCAAAGGAAAAAGAAGGAATCTGGCTCCTAGAACCTTTGCAAAATTTAGCTGCATTCCAGTTCTATGAATAGCACCATCTGTAGACCCTGAGCAGGTCCAATTCTGGAAGTGGACGGGGTAAAGCCAACTTGGGAAGCTCTCTCCCAGTTCCGGGACCACAGAACACTGGCAGGAGAGGGCAGGTCAGAGCGCCAGCACGGAGGAGAAGACAGCTGCATCTGCCAGAGACAAAAGAGCACAACTCAGTTAAGGTGAATGGGGCAAAGAAACCACTTAGGATCTTTTTTGTTCTTTTGTTTTCTTTGAGACAGGGTCATGCTGTGTAGTTCAGGCTGGCTTTGAACTCAGTATGTAGCTTAGGCTGGCCTCAGACTCATGGCAGTCCCCCTGCCTCAGCCTCCTTAGTGCTGGGACTACTGATGTGTGCCACCACCATGCCCGACTGGGATATTTCTTCATGAAGGAAAAATGCAAAATGAAAATGCATCGACCTTCCCCAAATATTTTAGAATTAACAAGAGAAAATTATTGACCAGTAATGTATATTTCACTAACTGTTAGGAGAATTAGGTGCTTTGTAAAACATTAAGTACTTCACAAAGATTAGGTAGGAGCTGCACTGTTATTATTTGTGTGGTGTAACATTCTTCTTTTTTTTTTTTCCAGTATTGGGAATCGAACTCACAACCTTGCGCTTGCCAGGCAGGCACTGTACCGCTGAGCTAAATCCCCAGCCCCTGTGGTGTAATCTCTGTGCAATCAAAATCTATCAAAATCAAAATCTCTGTGCAATCAAAATCTCCCCAGTCCGGTTTCCCTTACTCTTTGGACTTGTCTGGCTTTCAGGCTCAGGCACCTTCCAGTCCATCTTCCGCCCCTTCTCATAAAGAGCTTTGAGCACTTTGTGGAAGGACTCAGGCTCGGTACCATTCTTGCTTAACTCCAGATACTTTCGGTAGAGTTGAAGGGCGGTGCGGGCATCCTCAATACTGTCATGGGTCTCTCCTTGAATTTTCAGGTCTAGGGTAAGTAGAGATGCAATAGTTTGGGACCTAGGAAAGGAAGGTAACAACATGTCCTACTACTTCCACCCTGATTGCCAGAAAATGATTTAAAAAAAAAAAAGCATGCTCTCAAGGCAAAGAGACAAACACTTTCTCTAATGGACAAAAAGGGATACTACTGTTTGTTCTCTTCTTTTTTTTGAGACAGGGTCTCGCTATGTAGTTCAGGCTGGCTACAGAGTGATCCTCCTACCTCAGCCTCCTGAGTGTGCTGAGATTACAGGCGTGCACCACTGTGCCCAGCTAGAAAGGGATACTGAAGCAAATTAATTGTCAGCACTAACTCCGGGCCTATCCTATTCCCTCTTGGTCCTCCAACATGTTTCAAACTTTTTTTTTAAGACAGGGCCTTACTGTGTTGCCCAGGCTGACCTCAAATTTACAAACTTCCTGTCTCGACCTTCCAAGTAGCTGAGATTACTGGTGCATACTATCAAATTCAGCTAGTATTTCCTACACTTAATTTCTACCAGAGGTCTAAAAGGCAGAGCAGCTCACCCAGAAAATACCAAGCAAGGAATCGCAAGGAAATCATTCGTTTTCGGGGCATGTGAAACAGGTAGACAGTGTCAAGGACTTGGTCCTTGGGCACCTGGCAGGAATAAGAGTGGGAGACTTCAGTCAGGAATACATAATTTTCCATGTCCAAAAATACTACCTATACCTTGATGGGCCCACCCTCAAAAGTGACGCTTAAAAGAACCTAGCCCGAACCATGAGGTTGATGACCCGGAAGTCCTTCTGCAGGCCATGACCCACAAACTTGACTCCAATGTCAATGAGAAAACGAAGCTTTAAGTAGGTAGACTTAAGGGTTGTGAGGTGCTTGGAGGAAATTTTGGCATCGAGGTCTCCCGGCTTTATCCCCGAGTATTGGGTCAAGTAATCTACCACCTGGAACAGAGAAAAGGACAAATCACTCGGGATGTGAGGTGCAGTCTCCTACCACTCTTCCCTGGGTTCTCGGGCACTGCACGTAAACAGGGTTTAACTCACTGGCACCTCCGTACTTTAATACCTGCTCCTGGGTAGAGATGTAGTCATCAATGAACGGGACACCCTCATTGGGCCCCTGGCCCCGAACACAGGTGATCCTTGCTACCGACATCTGGCTTGGTTTAATGGTGGACTTGGTACCATCGCTGCGTAACTCTGCTTCTTCCTGCGTGACAAGAGTTACTCAGGAGACATGCTTCCGCCTCCCGAAGCCCTCAGAGTGCTACTGCAGCATCCCAGCCTCTTGTTCTCCGTTACCTCGTTAAGTGTAACAAACTCGGCGTCCAGGCCCACCAGGTCCCCGACCTGCGGCATCTCCCTCAGCATCAGTGGAATAAAGGTCGTATGTGTTTTGCGCTGCTTCCGTGCCAGCGAGGCTTCAGCGAGCAACACGCTAGCCTCGATAGGGTTCTTGACTGCAACGGAGAACGCAGAGGACAAGGGCCGGGGGTGGGGAAGTAACTAGAGCAGAGGACCCAGGATGGCTGCTCAGAGATTCTGGGTCAACTCTGTGATCCCTCAATAATCAAAGCATCCGAGTAAAAGATGCTATCTGGTGACCAGAACAGGCAGACAGAGCAGATCAAATCAGAAAGTCATCAAGAGCTTTGCCAAGAAAAAACTAGAAATATGACAGAAAAAAAAAAGAGTATGATCTTCACTGTGGACCTTAGAAAATCCAAAAAAATAAGATTACAAAGAAATTACAGTTTAAAGGTGCCAAACAGAGACTTAATAAAGAGCTCATCTTCAAAAGAAGAGCTCTTCACTTGGGGATAAGAATAGGCCAGGTGTGGTGGCGCACACCTGTAATCCCAGCACTCGGGAGGCAGAGGCAGGAGGATCGTTGTGAGTTGGAGACCGGCCTGGGCTACAAAGTGAGCTCAAGGCCAGCCTGAACTGCATAGCGAGACCCTGTCTCAAAAAGACAAAAACAAAAACAAAAATTTGATCAAATGCCTCTTTTCACCCCTTCCCTACTCCACCCTCAGGATTTCCAGCTTCTGAATTTAGAGTCTAATAGGCAGAAATCTCTTTAGTATCCCTGGAAACATTAGCACCAGTTACCAATCCTGAGTACAACAAGCTATTTCTCCGATCTCCTTCGGAAGCCTAATTTAAACTGCCCCCACCCTTAGGTCTGCTTTGTACCACTTACTATTCAGGTTGTATCTGGAATTGAGATTCCTCTTCACATAATAAAGGATAGCAGGTACTTTCCAATTCATGTCAAACTGCACTGCCTCATGCTAGAGAAAAGCAAGGGGCTAGGTGTGTAGTTCAGTGGGAGAGCGCTTGCCTAGCATATGTAAGGACCTGGGTTCAAGCCCTAGCAGTGCTAAGGAAAAGAAAAGGCACCTACGGCCTGTGAATGTATGTCCCTTTCCCCGTTCCCCAAGTCAGACAGAGGTCAGGCCTCAGTGCTGTTTTTAACTTTGCTATCATCTTTTATTTCAGACAATCCCTCCCTCTTGAATATGCCTGGCACTCTCCAGGGCCCTGAGGAGGAAGACACTAGCAAAGGGGGCATAAGAGCGGGAATAAAACATCCGGCAACTCACTTTATCAATGGGCTCAATAAGGAAGTCATTGAAGAGATACCACTGCTGGTGAGTGACGCCCTGCGGAGACACAGAGGCTGCTGCCAAATGGCTGTGATGGCTGCACCACTGTCGGGCGCTCAAGGACACAGCCAGGTCCCACCGTGAGCTTTGCAAGAGCGGCCCTGCCTGTGCGCTCACTCACCTCCTTGCGCTGGTGGTAGGTCTCCCCGACCTTGATGTGAGCCACCAGGCTGCCCCCCGTGCGCGAGTCCAGGATGTGCACCACGGTCGCCATCAGGTCGTACACACAGACGCCACGCTCCTCGTCCGCCCTGGCCGGGCCCCACTGCGAGGGGGCACCCAGGCTGCTAAGCTACGTTTCGGGGTTAGGGAGGACGGGGAGTGGGGACGAAGGGCAGGGCGTTGGGGGTGTAGGCGATGGGGAACCAGGGTGGGTTGTCTCCATCCTAGCCCATCCGGGACTCCCAGAGCTGAAGCAAATCGCTGGAAAAATCCCACAGCTGGTAAATACTAAGGCCTCATTCTCTTCCTTTAAAGTTCCACCTCCCCGGCCTGCTTCACACCATCCACTACACCTCCGGTCCCTGGTTCCCGCTCTTCCCAGATTTTCAACAACCTGCACCTCATCCCCATGAGTCCAGTTGCAAACATCCAGCCCTTTGTTCTTGGTCATCTTCATCCGAATAGAGAAAGGAAGCCAGACGTTTTTCAGCTCCTCAATGGAGGGACACAACAGCAAGCCTTCCGGACTCCTTAGTTCCTTCCTGTCAGAACAGCAGCATGACAAACGAGCTCAACAGCCCTGGCGAGGAGCAAGAGGGGCCACACTGGGTAATTCAGTCCTGCGACAACAAACGAGATGCTACCCACCGGTCAGCCAGCGCGAACTCCTTATTCTTGGAGATGTCTCCGCCATATTTCTTTACTGCCATCTTGAAGGCAGCCTGAACACGAAGGAAAAACGTATCTGATTCCTCAAAAACATAATCCTACATGCAAGTCAGAAGGAAGACAAACACAAAAAAGTACTCCACCTAGCACTCTGGGAGCCTGAGCCAGGAGGACTGCAAGTTTAGTTTGGCCTGGGTAACTTAGGGACTTAGTGAGAAAATAAAAAGAAAGGGCTGGGAACGTAGCTCAGTGTAAAGGTCTTAGCTTCAATCTCCAGTAATTAAAAAGAAAGAGAGGAGAGGAGATGGGAGGGGAAGGGAGGGGACGGGAGGGGAAGGGAGGGGAGAGGAGAGGAGAGAAAAGTCAGTCCTGTAATCCCAGCACTCGGGAGGCTGAGGCAGGAAGGTTGCTGGGAGTTCGAGGCCAGCCTGGGCTACAAAGTGAGTTCAAGGCCAGCCTGAACTACACAGTGAGACCGTGTCTCATAAATAAAGAATGAAAGAAAGGAAGAAAGAAAAGAATTCCTAAAATCCCTGTGTTGTGCCCTAGTTCTTACCTCAGCCTGAAATCTCCAGAAATCTGCCTCTTTGGAACTGTTCACCTCACAATTAATGACAAGAATATCTGGGAGATGGCGGATATTTCGGGTCTGAATCTGAGAAGACAAAACAAACACAAAATAGGACGGAGCCTACATGGAAAGAACAGTAGGAACAGTAGCAGTCTGAGGTCTGTGCCTCCGCAGGGATCCCTGCTGCCTGAGCCACACCCAGGTGGGACCTCGGCTGAGCCCCTCGCCCAGGGCCTCGCCACTCACCGTGGGCTGGTACTTCTCACAGGTGTCGCACCAGGCCTGGGTGTTCTGCTCCAGGCAGATGCTTCGCTTCAGCACCTGAGCAAAGTCATAGTTCTTCCCGGTCTTATCTAAAGGGAAACTGGGTACTTCACTCCAGGCTGCCCCTGCTGCTGCAGCGAGCGCCCAACACCCCTCCCTGCTGTGAGGGACACCCGGGGTCTTCCCAGCCCGGGTCGGGGGACCACAGACACCCTCCCTGCAGTGAGGGACACCCGGGGTCTTCCCAGCCCGGGTCGGGGGACCACAGCTGCTACCCTCAGGGTAGGAGAGCGTGAAGAGCAGGGTGGATGAGGTGCGCACGGTCTCGCTGCCACAGCGGCAGAGGCTGCAGTTCTCCATCTCACAGCTGAACAGCTGCCCGATGACAGAGTCCCCCGACGAACAAAAGCTGCTGAGGGTGTGGAGGGCAAGATATGGCACTCAGGGAGTTACAAGACCCTCTGAGGCCCGGAGGGCACCAGCTGTTCCTGTCCAGTCCCTACCTGCCTCCAGCACCTCGGTAGGCCTGCGGTACTTCCAGCTCCTGCATGTCCTGATGCAGCTGCGTGAGAATGAAGCGGTTCCACCTCTGAATGAGCCTGGCCAGATTGCCCTTGCCCGAAGCCTCGTCTGAGTCAGCCAGGATCAGGCCGAGGGCTGAGGCCTCGGGAATGGTACGGAAGGCCCGGAGAAAATTACTGCCCTGGGAAGGAGATGTGGATGGAGAGGCTTACGTTCTCTTCGGCGGATATTTACACAGCACCATCCCTGCTCACTGTCCTTCTCCCGTCCTCTTCCATTTTAAGGGTTCTAGGTCCAGGAACTCACCTGGCAAGGGTCACCACGAGAGAGATCCAACATATGGAAGAGGAAGCCCAGCTCACATGCCAGGCAGAACTCTTTTTGGCAAAGGTGGTTCTGGATTAGACAGCGAACAGGCTCCAGGAAATACAGCACCTGGAGGGCAGAACGGGAGAACTGGCGTAGGAAACTGAGAGGAAGAGAAATGGTGAGGTTAAGTGAGCTGTTCAATACAAAGGACCCCACCGAAGCACTGGGGCTCACAGAGACCTGCAGGTGTGAGGGCAATACGGAATGCCAGGCGAGGCCCAGGTACAGTGGGCTCGGTTAAAGAAACCTGCAAAGAAGCTGGGCATGGTGGTGCACACCTGTAATCCCAGCACTTGGGAGGCTGAGGCAGGAGGATCACCTAGGCTACATAGTGAATTCGGGCCATCCTTAACTACACAGCGATACCCTGTCTCAAAGCAAAACTAAAAAACAGAACAAAAAAATGGAAAACCGGAAAGCATAGAATAGGGGCTGAGAAGCAACAGGCAAGAAAGCCAGCAGGCATGTTCCCGTGCGTGGGAGCCCCAGCCCGTACCTGGATCATGCAGTTACAGTAGGCATTGGGGATGTGGGGCTCCAAGCCAGCAAACAGCGTCTTATTATAGTGCTTGAAGTCAAAGTCTTCCAGCCCGAGCTTGGAATACTTGATGGTTACCTGAAAGAGAACAGCCTGAGCAAGATGAGGCTACCCTACAGTCCCCTAAATGTTCCCAGGACTCAAAGCCTTCCCGAAAGCCTCTCTCCTGGGCCCACAGTGATGCGTGAAGGCTGCTCGTGTGTGTGTGTGTGTGTGTGTGTGTGTGTGTGTGTGTGTGTGTGTGTGTGTACTCATGCGAGTGATCAAGCTCCCGGCCTCACACTGGCTGAGCACTCTATCCCTGAGCCACACCCCTAGTCCTGGGGAAGGCTTCTTCACTGAGACCCTCAGTTCCTCCTTACATGACATCCTTCCCAGGCCTTCCCCGACCTCCCACAGGCTCCCTGCCTTCGTGGCCCCCAGCACCTTTCGGTATTTCTTAGAGACCATGTGGAGATGTGGCTCCTCTTCCCGTCCTATCGGTGACTCGGTGACCTGGCTGAAGCTGTCAAATTCATTGTCCAACTCCTTTAGTCGGTAAGGAATCTAGGGTTTAAAAAAAGAGGTAACTCTGTGGTATGATTTTTCTTTTCTTTCTCTTTCTTTTTTTTTAAATCAGGGTCTTGCTATGTAAACTAGGCTGGCCGCAAACTCGCAGCAATCCTCCTGCCTCAGCCTCCCAAGTACTGGGATTACAGGCGTGCACCACACCTGGCTTCTGAATGTCTTAACGGTCTTCAGTTCCCTTTCATCCCAACACTGAAAGAGCCACCAAGCCTAAGCCTTCTGTTCTCACCGTGTTCTTAGCATCTCCTGCTTCCTTTTTATTTCTACTGCCGTCTCTCTGCCCGGTGACAGCTGGACGGCTGTGACAGTTCCACACTAGCTTCGTGTGTTCACTGCGCCCAGCTACCAAAAAGGCCACCTCAAGGTGGTGCTCTCAGTGCAAGGCTTCTCCCGCCACACAGCAGCGTTCACAGCTTCACCGTCCTCGTCCTTTCTAACCTTTAATTTCTTGCTGCTTCCCACTACTAACTGCTGTTCCATCCAGCTTGGCCTCCTCTTCATAAATGCTTTTGCATTTATTCGAGACCTTTAATAATACTCTTCTCTCATCTTGACTCTTCTCCACCACTACCATCTACCTACCTACAATCCCACTTCCAGCTCAGTATGTGCTTTTACTACGCTGTTCCTGAGCACTCCAGCCCAGAGAACACTTCCCCTCCAAACAGCACTGCTACTGAATGCTTGTAATACTCCTGTGACTCCTTTGTTGTTTTTCAAGACCGGGTCTCGCTATGTAGCCCACGTTGGCCTTGAACTCACCTTGATCCTCCTGCCTCAGCCTCCCACATGCTGGGATTACAGGCGTGCGCCCTTACACCTGGCCTGTAATTTTCCTTTGGCATTAACAATAGAACATAAATAATTTCTGATGTAATGTCTTCCCATCTTCCACGTCTCTCAATCCTCCCTTACACTAAGCATCGTTCCTTCAGTTTGACAGGCCCCCCAAAACCCTACCAGCTGTCTAAAGACAGAAGACCAGCAAAGGAAAAAGAGAAACACCAGTGGGCTAGGGCGGGGCTCAGCCCTTCCCCGTCAACGCACCTGATTGCGCAGCCTGGTGCGGGGGTTGGGAGCATAGCCAATGAAGCCCACTGTCTTCATGGTGCGCAGTATCTCCGCATCCACAGGCGGCGCTCGCCTGTAATCCAGCATAATTCCAGGGCTTTCACCTTTCCACTGCCCAACCCCCAACAGTGAAAAAAAAAAAAAGGAAGCAAAGAAATACTGAAGGCAGAGGGCAGACAAACCTCAGGACAGTGACAGAATGATGCCAGGGCTAACGGAAAATTCTGGTGTCCCGGCCCTTTCCCCCCTCCCTCCTTTTGGCCTAGAGGTGGGGCACAACCTGGGCGCCGGGGCGGAGTTGGCGGCAGGCCAATCGGAGAGGAGCGCGTCCGTGGTGAGTGGAACGGGGATGAGGGAAAGAGGCAGCAGGTCTTGGCTCCAGTCCAAAGGAGGCAGTGAGTCCACCAGACAGGGCAGAGCAAATTCGGTCTCCCGGGAGTAGGGGTTGAAGGAGGGCTCGGGGGAATCAGTCCAGAGGTGCACACAGCCCTCAGAATCCCCAAAGGCCAGGGCCTGCTTGCTGGCGGACACGTCAAATGTCATCAGCAGAGGTCCCACAGGATTCACATGAAAGATATCTGCTGGGTTGGCCAGGCCTGTGGGCTCACAAAACTGGCACTGCCCTAGGAGGGAGGGAGAGGCCCACTGAGCCCTAGAAAGGGAGAGGGAGACGTCCTTTTACGCCTTTTCTACTCTCTTCTCTTAGTACCAAGGCAAGGTGTACCCTAAACCCATGCCTAGTGATAGAGAATGCCAGCCGGTGCCTTCCCATAAACCACAGGACGGTTTGCTGCCCGGCAAAAGCAATGCTCAAGTTAGTCTGCCTATTTCCTCTTTATTTTTTCCCACCTTCCTCACACCCAAAGAGAAAAGAAACGTGACGTCTCTAATCAAGCCTGAGGACACACGGGGGGTTACTCCCTTCCCCGCAGAGGGCCTGGAGAGTATCCCTGCCGGAGCCTCGCCCCGCTGTGCTCCTGACCTCGCCTCGCCAGTCTCTGACCCCCATACCTGACTGCGAGATGATAGCCAGGCGGGACGTGTAGGTGGGGATGAAGCGCAGGAAGGCAGGGTCCACGTGCACCTGAAGCGGCGTGATGGCTCGCATCATCCGCAGGTCGTACACCTTGAGGAACCGGTCGCAGGCCAGCCCAGTGAGGCGGCTGGAGAAGCCGCAGGCAGCCAGCAGGTTGCCGTGCACGTCAAAATCCGACAGACTCCCTGAGAAGGCATCGAACTCATGCTCCACCTTGAAACTACGGAGGTCTCGCAGGGAAACCTAAAGGAGGGACAGCTCTGTTATCCGCCAACTCCTGCTGGCAAGAGTCCTGCCACCTACCAACCCTGTGAGGTCCCTACCTTCGGAACCAAGGCTCTAGGATAGGGACAATTAGGGCAAAGAAAAGGAGAAAAGAGACGAAGAGCTGGAAGGGACTCCCAAAAGCACTCTCCTTTACCCTTTTTGCTCCTAGGTGCCTAGTCAGAGAAAACATCAGGATACAAGAGAACTCCAAAGCGCAACATAACTAAGTAGGAAGCGGACGCGTCCCTCTCAACCCTCGTTTCCCATGCAGTTAGGAAAGCTCAGCCCAGTCAGGTGCCTGGCGACACGGGGCGCGCGGCGGGAACCGACGGGATCTGGCCACCTTGCCGGACGTGTGGCCGCAGAAGAAGAAGCGGTTTGTCTGTCTCATGATGGTGACTCCGGGTATCTCGACTGCATACTGCAGAGGCAAGGAGGAGAAACCAGTGAAAAAATGACCTTCCCTAAGGACCGAAGGAGCAGCAAGGTCACCCCCAGACTCCAGCACATCTCCAGCCCAGGCAGGCTCGCCCCCTATACCGCCCTCAGGCCCCGCGGGGGTCGTGCCTGGTCCAGCGCAGGTTGGTACCTTCTGCGTCTCCTGGACGGTGGTCAGGTCGATCTCCAGGATGTGGTTCTGCAGGCCGCCCACGAGCAGCGTGCTGCTGTCCGTCAGCAGGAGGCTGTGCATGTCCTCGCTCTCATCCAGCCTGGAGAAAGTAGAGCAACAGGCCGGGGTCTCGCCAGCCACCAGTCCCTTTAGTTCCCACACTAGGCGCTTCCCTCTTTCTTGGGGCAGAAAAGCTACTTACAAGTAATCAAATATAATGAGTCCCCCGCGAGCCATATACTTGAGGTTGTTCTTTGTGAGAAAAAGGACACCACTCTCCAGGCTCTGGATCTGGCGAATGTCATCGCTGCCATTGACCTGGAAGGATGAGTAGCGCTCCAAGGCTGGGCCGAAGAACGAAGTGGCGTGGCCCTGCGGAGGACAGAAACAACAGTCATCCCGAGCGGAGGAGCAAGGCAGTTCCAGATGCAGGACTGAAATCTGCTGAGCCGACCTGGCCTTTCTGGCTAGGAGCAACTGAGGCAGGTGGCTGGGACCCGTCAGTCTCGCTGCTAGAAGACAGGAACGCTGTTCCACACGAACGGATTACAAAATGCTTTTGTGAATTCTACCTCTCTGTACCCTCACCATGACCCTGATGAACGGGTAATAAGGATGTTAAAGGTGATTAGAGACGTATTCAGGAGGCCAGGGACAAGGCTCAGTCCTCCACTGGGCAGCTGGCCTTTTTTTTTCTTCTGTATGGGGATTTCACCCGGGGCTTTAATGCATGCTAGGCGAATGCTCTGTAACTGAGCTACACCCTTAACCCCTCCTTATTAATTCTGAGACACTAATTTGTCCAAACTGGTATCTAATTTGAGATCCAGGTTTACAGACAAGCACCACCACACCTGGCTATACTTTTCCCCTGGCACCGAGGTTCAGCTCAGCTGGCTTTCTTATGGTTCACAGTCAAGTCTTTTTGTTTTGTTTTGTTTTGTCCTGGTTTTCTGAGACAGGGTCTTGCTAGGTAGTTCCGGCTGGCCTTGAAATTACAGTATAGCCTGAGCTGGCCTGGGACTAGCTGCAATCCTCCTGCCTCAGGCTCCCAAGTCCTTGGCTTGATTACAGGTACCTACCTCCATGTCACAAAGTTCACAGTCACCTCTTAATCTCTACCAGCCATTTAGGAAATGTGTAGTGTGGCTCACAGGCTGGAATGGATAATGTAAAACTTGGAACTGGGTGTCGTGGCACATGCCTGTAATTCCAGCACTCGGGAGGCTGAGGCAGGAGGATCGTTGCTAGTTCGAGACCAGCCTGGGCTACAAAGTGAGCTCAAGGCCAGCCTGGACTGCATAGTGA